TGGCAGTGATGGTACTTTTCTTTAAGACCGCATGCCACAGCTGACCCAGTTGTGGTTTGGTTTATGTGGTGCTGGCCCATGCGTGGACCACCGCTGGCAAACCACGTGGGCGACCAAAGGTACATGATTCTTTGCGATATCTGAGCTGACCACCAGTTTTAGTGAATTACTTGGAGCAGAACTAGGCCAGACAAATTTAGCTTTGTGGGAGGATTCATCACTGTTCCATGGTTTCTCCATTTATAGATAAGGGCTCTATTTAAATAGTTTTTTGATTGTTTGGGAAACCTAGATACTGGGGAACGTAGGCATGGACCCTTCACCATATTGCTCCAACTCAAAAGAGTTGAAATCTGTGATCGAGCAAACACGTTCTTTTTCATTTTTACAACGCTGTTAAATTAGCTGTGATTGGAAAGAATAAAGAAACTCTTTCCTCAGACTTCAGGTCTTTCCAAGTCAAATGCATCTCTAACTCTCCTGAACCAGCTACACAAACATTGTGACACTTCCACAATATTAAACCTTCTGTGGGCCACAACCAGACTGAACCCAGTTTTAAATGTCAGATCCAAGTTTTGTTACCAGGTATGGACTCAGCTGGGCTGAAACAAACCCTGACCTCGTAGACTTGAATAAATCATTGTCTCAATAACTTGCATATCTGAGTGAGTATTGAATATATTCGGAGTACGATGCAGTAGATCGATGTCTGCTGCTGTTGGGGTTAAAGGCTGAACTCTGCCGCAGGGGTGAATAATTTATTTTGTCCAAAAAATCCAAACACCAAACATGTGAGCATCTGCTGGTCATGATGAATGTTTGTCATTTATGGTTGAACATGTAACACAACCTGACCCTAACCGATGGCTCCATGATGAAACACCAGTTTTTATTAGAAACTGCAAAAAGCTCCTTTCGTTGACACATCTTGGATTGTGTGTGTGTGTGTGTGTGTGTGTGTGTGTGTGTGTGTGTGTGTGTGTGTGTGTGTGTGTGTGTGTGTGTGTGTGTGTGTGTGAGAGCTTTCTGTTGGATATTTTTTGCTCTAAGGTCCATCAGGGGGATTGCACTTCTTGGTGCTGCCTCACATGCCCTCACACTCTAAAAGTCTGCAATGAAAGAAGCTCTTTGTCTGCATTTGTTTCGCTGAGTTTAATGGGATGGAATAATGGTATAAAACCGCTCATGTCTCAGGTTTCCTGTCTTTACACACAGGACGGCGTTATTAAATTTGGTCAGATTTGTTGAGCACGTTTGTGTGTGTTTGTGTGTAGTGTTTCACATTTGTAAAATAATATTTCACTGTTTAAATACATTATTTTTTCACCTTTTTGATGTGTTAGGCTAACAGTAATGTTTTGGCCTGTGCGTTTGTCTGCCTGTCAGTGAAATACCACTGATAACTGAAAAAACTGTCTAACTCAGCCAATTTTAGGGCACTGACCCAACATTTGGTGTGATGCTAGCTGAGATTGATCTCTGAAAACATACTCTGACCACTACTAGATTATACAAAACCATTGTTTAACTTCTTTTCCATTAAAGAGGACCTATTATTGTTCCTTTTAAGTTAGGATACATTCTGCTATTGGCAATGCCCAGCCAAACTTTTGTTTACATTAGCTCCGCCCCCCCAACATGGCGTTTATATTAGCACTTTAGATACGTGAAAAAGGCTGCTACAAGCAGATGCACAATGGTACAACTGTAGTAGACAGGCTGCCGTGGGGCCACGCCGGGGGGGGGGTAACAGATTGGTGCCCGGGGAGGCCAACGCATGTCCGTCACTGCTTCCCGAGGCTGGCGTAGTGAAGTGGGGGAAAAGGTGGTCCCCCCTGCGGCAGCATGGACTGTCGTCACTGTTACGGAGGGAGAAAGGCGAAACTGCTCCCCTCCTTGGTCGTCAATCATAGCAGCGCGTTCAACAATAATTTGTGCTAAATGACAACGCCAACACTAAACACATAAAACATCACTCACATCGCCATCATCTGCAGATTTGTGACGAACAGTAGGGACAGAACTTTCCTGCTGTGTGCTGGTAGAAGTTTTSAAAGTCCATCGTGAAATTACGTGAGCAAATTACAACTTCCTTTGGCAATATTGCTAGAACATTGCCATCAAAAATAAAAACAAAATTAAGCCACGTTCTCTGTGAAAGTTGTAAAAACAGCAGAACTAAACCYGGATTTATACTGCATGCATCTCCGCTCCGCTGCGCAGGTCGCAGCTGTGCATTTCAAGTCCAGTGTACACTACCTCCGCTCCGGTCTGGTCCGACAGACGTGCAGGAAGCAGATCGCGCGATAAATTTGTGATAAGTGTGGAAGTCACAGCAAAAAATAATTAATCCTGTGAAAGACGAACTCCAAACACAGCTGAAAACAACGATATAAAGCCTTTTGGTAGCTATGATGAAACTGTCTCGCTGTCAAAATAAAATCCACGTGTATCGTGTGTGTACACATATGCTTTATGCTACATGTTTCCATCTGCTTCTCAAACAGAACGATACATTCTGACAGCATTTGTGTAGAAATATATCCGTATATTTATTAATATAGCCACAATTTCGACATTATTCCGACAAATTATCCAGCCTAAAAGTGTCTTATTTTGAAAATACGGATGATGTGCTCGTGTCTTTTCCTGTTGGTGCGACGTAATCTTTAAAAATTGACTCCGGCGCTGCTCTGGCGTCTGGCAAAAATAGGATCTGTTCTAATTTTGACGGATCACCATCCGCTCACCGCCGCCCTGCGCAGCCAGTGTAAACACTCTCATTGATTATAATGGGTGCGTATTTGCTGCGGAGGTTGGACCTCAGCGGAGCNTGTGTATCATGTGTGTACACATATGCTTTATGCTACGTTTCCATCTGCTTCCCAAACAGAACGATACTTTCTGACAGCATTTGTGTAGAAATATATCCGTATATTTATTAATATAGCTGCAATTTCGACATTATTCCGACAAATTATCCAGCCTAAAAGTGTCTTATTTTGAAAATACGGATGATGTGCTCGTGTCTTTTCCTGTTGGTGCGACATAATCTTTAAAAATTGACTCCAGCGCTGCTCTGGCGTCTGGCAAAAATAGGATCTGTTCTAATTTTGACGGATCGCCATCCGCTCACCGCCGCCCTGCGCAGCCAGTGTAAACACTCTCATTGATTATAATGGGTGCGTATTTGCTGCGGAGGTTGGACCTCAGCGGAGCGGAGACGGAACGCAAGCAATGTAAATTGGGGGTAACGTGGTCGTCCTGTAAAGAAGTGGGCGGAGTCTCCTCTTGGGTTAYCAGGTGAGGGGCTGGGCTTGCTGGGCCACCTAGATTGTGATGTAACGATCTGCAGGCTTTTGAAACAGCTCATTTGCTCACACTAGAAAAACATTTACATATTRTCAAAAAAACTGCTGAGAGAATTTTTTTGGCCTTGGACCTTTTCTGGAAGCAGTACAGATCCAAACTGAAGCATAAAAACATGTTAAAAAAGTTCATTTTGCATAATACGTCCCCTTTAAATAGTTGGAGTCAAACAAAAAATAGGACKAATTGAGTCAACTCATGGATATTTTGCTAAAATCTGATGTGGTTGTAGCTGAAAGACATTCACACCACATACTGCATACTGTATCTAAGTGCAATCCTGTTTGTTTGTTGATAAAATATCTCAAACCACTGGACATATTTTAATATGTCATAAAAATACATTTAAAATACATTTAAGAGGGAACCAAGCATCTTTCATGACTTTCATTATTCAGCACGATGGCTCAGTGGTTTGCACCGATGCCTCACAGTAGGAGGCCAGCCAAATATACAGTAGGTAGGTCTTGTGTTTGATCCCCAGTTTGGACCTGGGATCGTTCTGTGCAGAGTTTGCATGTTTTCCTTGTGCTTGTGTGGGTTTTCTCTGGGTACCTCGGTTTCCCCCACAGCACCAAAATATGTCTTTAGGCCCAGGTCTCTCTTGAAAAAAAGATTTGTAATTTCAATGGGATTTGTCTGGTTAAACTACGGTTAAAAAAATTAACCAAGCTTTATCGACAAGAGCTCTGCAGGAGAAGTAAACTGATCTGCGACATGGCACATGACAAAATTGCCCGACACAACGAATCGATAAAGAAATTTGTTGTCAACACTTTTAATAATCAATTTTTATTGATTTGTTGTTACAGTCACTACAAACAATTCAAGAAGGGCTGCAACATTTTTTTTCACATAACTGAACAACAACTGTAGCAAGCTACCAAACAACAACAAGCTAACATTAGCTACCATTAGCTTACCGTCCTCTGTCGTTTTGTGCTCTCGTTTTCAGCACCATCCTGCTGGATAGTCTGGTACAATATTCAGTATTTTTCTCCCATGTTTGGTGTAGTCCATTATCCCATATTTCTTGCATGTTTTTAAAATAATGACCCCCACCCACCCCAAGGTGGCACTGCCGTGGTACTTCCGTCTAACGGGGTCGGGGTAGAGTAAGGCTAGGCTGACTGGGGCCGTTCCGGGCCTTACAATGCAAAAAAGCCTATAGGTACCAGAGAAACAGGTACCATGGAACATGGTCATCAAGGAACATATGGATCCTTGACCAAAACTGCTCCAACTCCACCATTTTCAATGTAAGATGATCTTGGTCTAAAGCTTTGTTTGACATGAGAGGTTAGTGATATACATGTTAGTCCTTTGTGAGGAAAAGGGGACAGATTTTTTAATGCTTCTTCCTTCTACGTCTTGTGATGCTTTCGTGCTTAACTGAGTTCATATCACCAGCACTCTACCCTGTATCTGAATGACGCGTGTAAGATTTCACAAGAGAGACTCTGGAAACAGTTTGTGTCTTGTTTTGTTCTCAGCGACTCTTTTCCTTTGACAGTCTGTACACGCTGAATCCAGAAATATTTAATCCCGTCCTCATCTGCACCTGCTGTTAATGTCATTCTGAAGAGTGGATTTAAAACGGCGTTTGTGTGTCTCTGTGTGGGCTTCAGCTGCGGGGCGGCCCTCGTGGCCGGGATGCCGCTGTGTGCCGTGCCAGTCCACGGTGGACGGTGAGGGGCAGACGGAGGGGACCGAGTGCCGGAGACTGACAGGAGGCAGTCCGCACCAAACCGGAGACATGAACCTCTGCTGGAGCGAGATCAAGCGCAAGTCCCACAACATCCGGTAAGAAAAAAAGCCCACGTATGTCAGAAAACACTGGATGAGTGGAGCTTTTTATGGACAGGACGGGGCTCTAATTTCTCTGACCTCTTGTTTGTGACTGGAAAACTGATGCTTTAGTTGTCAAAAAATTTGTCTAATCTGAAAGAAATCACAGAGCACGCTGACAAACAAAGGACAGATGATGCAACTGTGCAGTAAATCMTATTCAGTGGGCTTTAAAATTATGACTCAACGGCAAGGACTCATTTTATCACCAGCCTGTTGCCCTCGGCTCCTCTGTACTTTTATTTGTGAGGGACAAGTACGTTAGGATAAGAAATAAGGAGAAAAATGTACAAAGTACTGTGGGGATGAGAGTGAATGCTGTATATAAATATACTGTTTTCTCTTTATAATCGTAGGTATTACAGATTATTTGAAAAGCCTTCAGTCCATTTTTATTTTCCATTTCTTGTTTGATCGCTTGCTGTTTGCCATCGTTGTCTAAGAAACCTGTTGTGCTGTTCTGACATTTACTAAAGATCTCAAGCAGAGCATCTTAATTAAATCAAAGCTAAGACAGCACTGGGGCAGCTGCAGTTCAGGCACCCTAACGGTTATCTACAAATTACAAATGTGTTATCAAATGATGGCTCCTGGGCCTTGTTCGACACAAACATTTTTACCACCTGATCCAGGAAGTATTAATTATTTAACAGAACCAGGCTTTCAGGTAGGATTTTGGAAGAAGGCTGTGACACTTAAGCCCCACCCTCATACTTATGAAATTTATAAAATTTACAGAGTGGGAAAAGAAAAACTTGTGAGGTGTAATAACCACGTCTTCTGGTTCTGCGGAACTGCTGCTGCTCAGTGAAGAGAGAAACTCTGAAACAGGCTGGTTGAACAGCAAGAATCTTTATTTTGCAGTCCAGGAGATTACAGCCAAAAACCAAATTCTGGCCTCCAAGCCAAATGATTCACCAAGTAAGAAAGATGAAGTACGAAGGCGAAGAGCAGGGGCGTACAAGCCTCTTTATAGGTTGCACAGTGTAGTTCAACAGAGACATCATAAATTTTGTCACGGTATACCTTTTCCTAATATGGTAATATGTGCTGAGCTCTGGAGCTGGAAAACTAAGAGAGGCATAACACATCTGTGCATTCCTGAGAAGAGACCCCCACTCTTGGACACTACACTTGCAAATACACGTAGAGTGGAGATTGTCGCAACAACAAACAACAACAGCTGCTGAAGCTGTAAAATCTCTACACACCTCCTTTATCCAAGCATGGCACAATTTATTCTTTGCGTTTTCCTCTGGCTTCAAAAAATTGTGGTCCAAGCTCAGTGTGCGCTCCCTGCTGGATGAGAGATTTACCAAGACCCAAGGCCCACCCTAATTCTGATAGGCTGGTAGGCCTTTCTAGTTTGTCTGAGAGCAAAAGCTGCGTCTCATCGAAAGAAATGTCTGTTAAATGTTGACTAACATGAAGATCAGCATGGCGCACTGAGAGCATCGCAAAACTGAAAAAGGACATCGCAAAAACATAGAGAGGGTGTCACAAAATGTAAAGACTGCATCGCAAAACCAAAGTGGGCRTTAGAATGTGCTAAAAACCTGAATAAAACGCTTAGGATTTGATATGGAAACAAGTTGTCTTCCAGCTTAGAAAGAATCAATGACTGACCCAGACATTGAAACACAGTGAGRAGAAAACGCAGTCGACCAAATTACATCGGTGTTCTTCTACAACTGTTTCGCCTTTACGCCATTTTTGTACCAGACTTAAGAGACCCTTTAGATTTTATTTAGATGTCTTTTCAATCCACTGTCTCCTGAAGCCTGCACAGATAGGGTGAGGTGCTGTAAGAGAAATAATGAAACTCTGCACCAGCAGGTGCAAGGCTAAGTTAATCAGTTCAAATGAGTAGCCCGAAGCTAACGGAAGTAGCATCAGTGAGCTAAGCTATAATTAGAATTACCGCTCAACACTGATTTTTGTGCTGTAGTGTTCTTTAGCATTTGATTTTATAAAATCAGTTTGACATATATTGTAAAATATGTAACAATTATTATCATTTTGTTAACTTTTTTTAGCGTTTGACAGTTGTGTTTATTGATTCTCAAGCAAAGTCTCAAAAGAAAAGTATGGAAAAAATCTGTTATGACAGCAGGATTAAACTGATYCTGCAATTAATACCAGAAGCAATCAAAAGCGGATGCCTCCCTGCACAGAAAAAAAAAATAAAAATAAAAAAACTAACTCTGCAGTAAATTCAATTCATAAACAATAAACTAAAAGGTTCAGTGTGAAGTGCTGCTGAAACAAATCCTCATTTCATTTTTGTGGCTATTGTTCCCTTTTGTTGTAATGTATGTTCAGAAATAATAAAAATGCGTTTGTATGTGTTTGACAGCCCCTATCACGCTTCAGAAAGTAAAGATCGTTAGGTCTAACATGTATGTAGCTTATTTCTCATTAGTTGTTTTACATTTTTCGCCTGGAAATACATTTTTAATTGTATTCAAGCAAAATAAAAATCCAAAGTTTGTCCAATAATGTAAAATAAAAATGCACTTAATTATTGATATTATATGGGTAAATACTTCTATAAAAGTCACACATGAGAAGTTTTACCGGTGTGAAGCAATTACAGGGCGTTCATGTTATTATTTAAAGGCGARTTGGAAATTGTGCGGGCTGGCCGCGTCATTTTTGTTACTTTTAATTSAACTGGCGTCCTGTTTAGACAATTGCCCCCCTAATTGCTTGATTGACCCTGATGTAGCTGGAAAACAGGAAGTAGGGGGAGCGGTTAAGGAAGGATAGTTGTTAAATTGGGTAAGACAGTTCCCCCCTGCAGTCCTGCATAATGAGATCACTATGCATGGCCTGCAGCGGCTGTTTATATCCAAAACTACATTCTAGCTGCGTCGGGCAGAGGGAGGACGAGGGGAACGCAGAAGGACGTTGACGTTTGCAAGGGGGGGTGGTAAAGACGGAGACAGCGAGGAGGAAAACTGACTGCTGGTATTAAATCATCGCACAGGAGAGATGTGGAGAACGGAGAAGGGCAGGATGAGAACGGGACTAAAGAAAGAATGGATGAATGAGAAAGAGCTCTGCCGAGCAGCCGTCTAACCTTGAGGATAAGAGCTGTCCAGAGGAAACGCCTGACTGCGTTTGATGCCAGTGGCTGGACGAGTACAGACAACTGGTTTATAATGACCTGTCAGGCTTTGATTGACAGTTGTCCAAGGCTTTGATAAAATAAAAGTCATAGCTGCTTCTTCATATCCTTTTAAACTGTCTGACGTTGTCCCTTAGGCTGCACTGAGGCTCGACTGGAATTAATTCAGATTTTTGTTGTTGCAGTTCTTTCTAAATCAGGCCAGGAGTCTAATATCCCTCTAATGTTCATGTGAGACTGAAATGAGGCACAGGTGCTGTGAGCTAAATGCTAACTTGGGCATCTTAAAATGCTCACAGGGACGATGCGACATATGACTAATGAAGAGAGAGCCTCGTGCTGAAGAAAGACTGAACACCGAGATTCATTAAAACCAGGAGCATCTCTGAGGTTCACACAACGGTTGTTATTTTACAGCAAAACTTTTTTCTGCTTAAAGAGTGAGAAACAGTCTGTGAGGAGCTAAGAGGATAATAATGATATAAAAATAATAATAATAATAATAATGATAATAATAATAATAATGATAATAATGAGACGCAGTGGCTGTGTCTCAATTCAGGGGCTGCAGCCTACCTAGACCATGACCCACGGAGGCCACTCCCTACGTGGGCCAGGTACTTGACAATTTGTATCACGTCTTCAGATTTAAAATGCATTGGGACATGTATTCATGTGTGTTGGTACTGGAGGAATAACTTCACAGTTAAAATTAATCTATRAAAAACATTAACAGGGTTCCCATGGATTTTTAAAGTCTTAAAAGGCATTAAAATATTAAATTTTCAAAAAAGGGTCTTAATTAACCTTAAAATGTCTTAAATCAAATTTTCAGAGGCCTTAATGTTAACACATTGTAAGTAGAATATTAAATATTAAGATCATTGGTAACATTTATTTATCTTTTTCAATAGTTTATCGAATATTTCTTGCAGCTAGTTGTTTAGTTTTAAAATAAACATTCGGGTAAAACTGTTTTTTTTTTTTTCCATTTGTGTTTATTGTGAAGTTAGTCTTAAATTTAATTTCAAGTGGCATTAAAGAAGTCCTAAAAAGTCTTAAATTTAACTTGCCCTAAGCTGTAGGAACCCTGATTAATAATTTGCATTTAGCTCCAGTATTAGTACTTGTAATTGCCTTTAGTTTGCGCCTCATTGTATTTTTGTTTAGTTTGTTGATGGCACATTGAATCTTAGGATATCCTTGGCGAGGACGTATATTCAGATGCAGCCGTCACTTTCAGGATTTTGTGGGTCTCATTTGTCAGCCACATGAGAAGGAGCCCATGAATTGAGACAGCCTTCAGTGATGTAAGCGGCTTAAAAATCCACATTGTGGAGCCCTGAATTGAGGCACAGCCAGTGTTTTTGACTTTGGAATGAACAGACTAGGGTTGGGCGATATTGGCAAAAAAGTTAATTGCAATTAATTGTGGCATTTAGTCAACAATGATTAACTGGCTAGCTGCATCGTGGATTCTCAACTGGGTGGATTTGTTTCCATCGTTAACTGCGGGAGAGTTTGCTGCAGCCGGCGTTGTGGCTTTGGTTCACCTCGTGCTCCGGTTTGTGGCAGTATTTTGGAGGGTTGGGTAGGCTCGTGGTGTTAGCGTTAGCTTCTCTGGGCCACTTTCCACCATTGTTATGTTACATAGGCGCTTGATGGTGAGAGTGCGTTAGATGCAAAGACATCATCAACACATGGCACTAATCCTTGTAACCATCAAGTGGCAAGTATATCGGTGACAGACTGATGGTTGTCGTAGTGGATAGCGATTAGCTATTGTGTTAGCTTCTCCTAATTTTTACTTGTTCACCTGTTTAAT